AATGAAATGAAATGAAATGAAATGAAATGAAATGAAATGAAATGAAAAATAAAATAATAAATAAAATAAAAAAATAAAATAAAAAATAAAACAAAATAAAATAAATAAATAAAATAAAAAAATAAAATAAAAATAAAACAAAATAAAATATAATAAAATAAAAAAATAAAATAAAATAAAATAAAATAATAAAATAAATAAAATATAAAATAAAATAAAATAAATAAAATAAAAATAAAATATAAAATAAAATAATAAAATAAAATAAAATATAAAATAATAAAATAAATAAAATAAGTAAAATAAAATATAAAATAATAAAATAAAATAAAATAATAAAATAAAATAAAATAAAATAAAATAAAATAAAATAAAATAAAATAAAATAAAAAAATAAAAGTCCCCTGTGGTGGCGTCCTACCCGGTATGTACCGGATGCAGGCCGCCAGCTAAAATAAAATAAATAAAATAAAATAATAAATTAAAAAATAAAATAAAATAAATAATAAAATAAAATTTAAAAAGACATGAACCATGCCTAGATCTCCTGTCTCAGATATTTCTTTTTTTAATATATATCAGATATTTCTTTTTTATATCTTTTTTTTAATTTTATTTTTCTTTTTAGTTACATTTTGTTAACTCTGTGTCCCAGCTGTATCCTGCTCCCTCATTCCCTCCCCAACCCCACATTCCCTCCCTGGTCTCTTCCCTGCCCCTTTCCAAGTCCACTGATAGGGGAGGACCTCCTCCCCTTTCATTTGACCCTGTTTTATCAGGTATCTTCAGGGCTGGCTGCAAAGTCCTCCTCTGTGGCCTAACAGGACTGCTCCTCCCCTGGGGTGGGGGGAGGTCAAAGAGCCTGCCCTTGAGATCCTGTTAGAAATAGTCCTTGTTCCCCTTACTTTGGAAAACTACTTGGTTACTGAGCTACCACGGGCCACATCTGAGCAGAAGTTCTAGGTTATATCCATAGATGGTCCTTGGTTGAGTGTCAGTCTCAGAAAAGACCCTGTGCCCGGATATATTTGGTCCTTGTAGAGCTCCTATCCTTTCCATATCATACTAACTCCCCTTCTTTCATATGATTCCCTGCACTCTGCCGAGGGTTTGGTTATTAGTCTTAGTGTCTGCTTTGAAACACTGCTAGTTAGAGTCTTTCAAATGCCTTTTGCGGTAGACTCCTGTCATACGTTCAATGCACATCCCATTTGTCTTTCTAAATGAGGATTGATCATCTTTGCCCTTGTCCACTTTCTTGATTATCTTCTTTAGGTGTGTAGATTTCATTATGTTTATCATATCTTGTAGGTCTATATAAGCGAGTATATACCATGTTTGTCTTTCTCCTTCTGAGATACTTAACTCAGAATGATCTTTTCTAGATCCCACTATTATATCTTTTTTTTAAATTATTTCTTTGTGCACTGGTATTTTGCCTGCATGTCTGTGAGTGTATCAGACCCTGGAGTAACAGACAGTTGTGAGCTGCCGGGTGGGTGCTGGGAATTGAACCTGGGTCCTCTGGAAGAGCAGACAGTGCTCTTAAACCCTGAGCCATCTCTCAGTCCCTGTCTGCGTTATTTCAGTTGCTCCCAGTGCCCATTACAGTTTCAGTTAGCCCATTTTGGTAGCCGTTACAGTCTCGGGGACGCTGTGTGCTTAATAAGAGCATTTTCAGTGCTTCATTCCGCTCTTCTGCTAGATCCCACCCCAGGGTTTTCATGTAGTCGGACACGTAGCATGTCATTCCTGTTCGTAACCACTTATCTTGTGTTTCTTTACGCATTTCAGTTTTTCTTTGTTTTCATGAAGGATTTGGAGTGGTTATAATTATTTGACTACTTATAAACTTTTGTTTTCTAATTCTTTTCTAGTTCCATTGTTGCCAGTCTTTTTAGACAGGTGTTTAAAAGATTCTCTAATGTTTGAATTTATGTAGAGCAATGACACTTATTCACAGTAAGACATGCAATGACAAGAATCCAAGATAAACGCCTGAGACTCCTAAAGTACTGATGACTTTTAAAAAACATTTTTTAATTTACAGTCTTTGATAATTTATATATGAATACAATGTACCTAAAGCATATCCACTCCTGCTCAACTATATATATTATATTCCATCAGATTAAAAGCTATTTCATTGAGATATTTTTTATCTTAAAAATAATTTTTTAAATAACTGGATTTTTTATGGCTGAAGATAAACATTGCTGTTCATTCCACGGGTGATGAGTGCAAAAAGGCTTGAAAAATAAAACATTAAGAAAATAAATACCCCAATTAAAATTGGACTGTAGAACTGAACAGAAAATTCTCAAAAGAAGAAAGGCAAATACATAGGAAACATTTTTAAAGTGTTCAACATCCTCTGTCATCAGAGAAATGGAAATGAATATTCTTTTAAGACTCCACTTCACCCCAATCAGAATGGCCAAGATAAAAAAAATGACAGTATATGTTGTCAAGGAGGCACAGAAAGGGGAACACTTATTCATTGCTGGTAGGAGTACAAACTGGCATAGCCTTTATGGAAATCAGTGTAGTGGCTCCTCAAAAATTGATTTACCACAATTTCCAACTATACCACTCTGGTATATATGCAAAGGACTCTGTATTCTATATCAGAGACACTTGCTCATCCACATTCACTGTTGCTCTGTTCATAATACCTACGAATTGAAAACAGCCCAGATGTTTATCAAATGTTGAGTGAATAATGAAAACATGGTATATTTACACAATGGAATATTATTTAGCTGTTGGAAATCAAATTATGAAGTTTTCAGGTAAATAGATGGAGTTAGAAACAATCGTCCTGAGTGAGGTAACCCAGACCCAGAAAGACAAACACTGAATGTTTTCTCTTATTGTGAGGTAACCCAGACCCAGAAAGACAAATACTGAATGTTTTCTCTTATTTGTGGATGTTAGCTTTCAGACATGTGTTTTTTAATCTGAATAACCACAGAGATTAGGTAGCTGCTAAGGGTCCATGGGGAACAGTGGGATATTCTAAGGAAGAAGAAATAGAATATAGAGTTATAAAAAGATAAAGGGAAAACTAGAATAGGGGGATTAAATGGTCAGGAGGATGGAAAAGGAGAGTAAAGGAGAAAATACGAGGAGGAACACTAACAATAAAGGCCCGTTCTATGAGATAGAAACCTTACTTGACACTGTTAATGAGGCCAAGAGCCTGAGACTAGATAGGTCACTATTATTCTGCTAAAGAAACATAGCGACAAAATTACTCCTAACAACATAGTGCTCTACACAGAGATCCATGCATCAATGTCAACCCTCATCAGAGAGACTTCTTCTTGCAGTAGATGAAAACTAATAAAAAAAAAAAAACAGAAGCCCACAACTGAACGATGTGCAGAGAGTGAGAGACTTTGGAACCCTCAGCCCTAACATAAGAACCAATGAACAGTTTGAAGAGTAAAGCTTTGTTTAGCATAGAAACCCTAGGAATAGAGAGGACAACGGACTGAAATGGAGTGAGATCAGTGACAGGAAGCAAGTTAGGAAGTGATTCCAAGATCCTAGTGGCAACTGATGAGGCCAATGTTAGAAGTAATGTTAAGGAAGTACTTGAGTCCTTCCTCAGGCTGTTTGAATAGGAACTGAAAATTGATTATCAGAGTTGAAAGCAAGAAAAGAGCTAAATTTGACATGAAGTCGCTAGCTTTAGGGATGAGGTGGCTTCCAGTGTTGTTGTCACACATAACTGACACGTATAACTCTCTATGAAGAGGAGAGGTCAAGACTGTAAAGTAGTTAGTATACAGGGACATCTATTAGACTTCCAGCAGTACAAGCAGTGTAATTTTTCATTCACTACTAGTTATCTAGAGCATAGCACAATGACTTCCATATGAGCAAAAGCCTATGAAAAACAGAATTATGACCCTCAAAGATGTCCACCCCTAATCCTCAAAACCTGTGAATAACCTTTTGCCTTAGTTAGGGTTACTATTGCTGTAACGAACTACCATGACCAGTGATATC